AAATTTGCCAGCAGGTTTCTTTGGTTATATCATACTAGTTCTCTAACTTTTTAACTGATGAGAGAAGTGAACCCTAATGCAAAGTTATTTTATAGCTATGTATGAAGTGGCTACTCATTGTAGAAAACTGAATTCTCTCCATTTCCAACACATATTTCTTAAATTTAAAAAAAAAAATTATGACATCACTGGAACACCTATTTGGAAATACAATGTCAAGTCCTCAAAATATTTATTGCTGAGAAGATAGGCATCTTGGTACAGAACATAAATGCTTACAAATTTATTATGCAATTAAACTATATTGTCACACTTTTTCAGGTACTAGTGAAATAAAGGTTTTTTAAATCAAAATCTCTTGAACTGCATAGCATTTTGAATCAAATTATTTTCTATAATAATGTGAAATAGTTATCAAGGTTAATTCTCCAGTAATATTAAGAATATATACAGCAAAATTTTTTTCTGCTCTTTCAGACATAATGTTAGAAATGTTGTCACTTTCAGGTATGATGTTACAAATGTTGCCACTTTGGCAATAAACATGTCATTTTCCCTTAGGTCCAATGGAGTTGCATTAAAGGAAGCTCTGTGGCATCTTCAACACCTTTTCCAGAATATTTTTCCTTGAATGTTGTACATTTGAGTGGGAATGTTACAGGATGCGAAGAATATCCTCTAATGCACTTTCTTGAAATTCTATCACTTCACAGGGCTAATTTCACTGCAAGTCTGACTTGCAGTCTTTGCTTAGAATTAGTTCTTTATCAATGGTGATTAATAGGTTTATTTCTGCATCCAAGTTTTGAAATCACATTTCAGATAACATTTATCAAACATGCCTTGGATAAAGGTACATTCCATATTCTTTAAATAGGGCTACAATAGCCCTTGTTAGTTATTTATAAATTAGTAGCTGGTTATGTCTGAAATTTCAGATATGCCCACGGTCCGTCTCTGTATGTAATTACTATTTGTCCAAGCAACTCCAATATAATGACAAACTTTAAAGCATGATCTCTGCAGAACTCTGCAGTTCACTGGTCCTTCCTAGTCGGTAACGTTTCAGACTTCAAAACAACTTTTTGACTGAAAGGTAATTTAAAAAATCCATCTTAGACAATACATTTTGTGAATTTAGAAACTGTTAGAGAAAACAAACATACAAACAAACAATTAAATAGATAACAGGATGTTGCAAACAAGATTTTTAGGATAGAAATTATATTACCCCACCTTCATTAGCCACTGAGTGTTGTTTTCCATGATGTTCTCAAGTAGCTGCAGTCTTTGAACTGAATCATCATAGTCCAGCGGCGCATCCCTCTGCACCGCGTTGGACACGTACGGAGTGGAGGACCGGCAATTGTCCGTCTCGGGCAGGAGGAAGGTGTAGCTGCACGACCCATGCTGAACCTGGTACTGCTTCTTGCCTATCGTCTCCATACTCTTACTGAAGGAGTTGTATCCTGAAGCTAGGAAGATACCGCAGCCCAAAAAGAAGCAGGCAGCCAGCTGCATTTTAATCCCTGCGGCAACCCGGCGGACCGAGAGAGCCTGGGTGCGCCGGCCGGAGCCCGGCCCTAGTTAACCTGTGGAGCAGCCGAGCGCTCTGCTGCCATGTGCCGCCAGGGCAGGGCAGGGCAGGGCAGGACTGAGTTTCTCTCCCTCCCTCCCTCCCTCCCTCAGACGCCCGGGGCGGTGCGGCCGCTCCCGCCGTGCCCGCAGCTGTCAGGGAAGCAGCTGGGCCGGCCCCGCCTGGCCCACCGGCCCGCTGCCTTCCCTTCCGAGCTCCTGCCGCCTTAGCACCCTGATCAATCCCTTCCCGGCCCTTATATGATAAGCTGAGAGAGCGGGCAGACACGGGGAGCGGAGCTGCTCCTCCCTCCCGCGCTCGCCGGTGCCGGGGGGGCACCGCGGGACGGCTGGAGGGAGCGGGGCGGCGAGAGGAAACCCCAGGGAGGAGCCGGCAGAGCAGGACCCCTGCGAATTCCTGCGGCACGGCTCTAATTAAGGGTTTCCTAGACAGAGCAATCAGTTCCGATAGCCTCCAACTATGCTTGTAAATTATTTGAGGGGGTAATAATTTTTAAACTGTTTCACCTCCTTCCACCCTCCCCCCACCAAAAAAAAAAGTTCCTGGGCTTGCTTGTTCTTAAAAATGTGTTATTTTTTAAATGTGCTGAACCAAGATGTAATTTAGCTGGTGTTTAATGCATTGTGTAATAACAGAGAAAGACACTGTCCCAAGCATACAAAAGCAGGCATGCACTGTCCCAAGCATACAAAAGCATGCACCTCCTTGCAAAGAGAACAAGGGGCCGTTTTCAGCTGAACACAGACTTCGTATTTTACTGAATCTCTGAGATGAATACTCATTTTTAAGCATATCTTTCAAGAGTTAAGCATTTACAAGCTTTTTATTTATTATTTTAAAAGTCTTTTTTGTCTGTATGAAATGGCTAACTTTGGAAGTGCTAATGTTCATAAGAGTTAGAAATCACGAGTCAGCTGGGACTGGAAGAGGGAATAACCATCCAGAGGCAGTGGTAGTAAGGCATGGCCCAGGAAGTGGCATGGCTGAATAGCAGTCACCCTGTCAGCTCTCCCTAGCCCAATTCTGTACCCTTAGAAGTGGGAAATACCCATAAAAGGTGAGGGAAACGCTAATAAATTAAGCTTTTGAAATGTATATGTAAGAGTAAAAAGGAGGTTCCCCCTGCTTCCCACTCCCATGTTCTCTGCAGTGATCAGTCATCTTGAAAAAGTGGAAAATTACTAGCCAACTACCAGACCCTGGGAAAGAGTTCATTCCACTGAAAGTTTGAAAAAATTTACTTCTCTGTAGAAAGAAAATGACTTCTTGAAACCAAGATGATAGGATTCTGACTCCTGAAGACAAACTGCCTGATGAGATTTTGGCTAGGTCTGGATCTGGAAGCTATAGATTTTTTTTAATTAAACAGAGGGAATGCCATGCTCATGAAACTAACATGAATTACTGACCAAAGTTCCTCTTATTCAAGGAAAATCCCAGCATGCCTCAGGATCTCTTAGGACAGACTGTCTTACACAATTTGCTATATCTCATATAGTGTATTAATGTGGCTTTTACTTTTTAAATCATGGAAATTGTGTCCAGGAATTGTCAAAAATAGTTGTAGCAGTTAAAATGCATGTCTTACATTGTTGGAAGCTGCTGGGATCTCGTTACATACTACATAGTTACTCTGGAAAGGATAATCTCTAGACTTCAATTCTGGAGAATTCCAGAAAGATTCTAATGACAAGTGGAACCAATTTGTCCGATTTTTTCCTATGAGGTATTCGTCTGCCACTGTTCATCCTTCCAGCCAGAGGAAACAGAGGAGTATGTTTGGAACAGTCTAGATTATTTTCTACAAAATGTACATATTTGGAGTGTTTGGTATATAAATTATGCATTCTCCATCCCTTCACCTTTGTATTGCAATAATAAAGCAGATTAATGCGATAGCTGCATTGATAGCAAAAGTTTCAAACATTTGTATACTGATGTCTAACTTTCAGTGTATTAAAATCTTTGAAAGGATGTTTAATTCCATGTGAATAACAGTATTTTGTGAGGTACTTGAGAAACCTACTATTACCCAGTGAAGATTAATGCACTAGACTGTGTGAAGCATTTCTAAGTATCTAACCAGACACTGAAATTCAGGATTTTCTATTTGAGTACTTTAATTAATTTGTTAAATTAAATGAGAATTTCCTATTACGACTTTTACTTGCTCTTAAATTGGCCTGTTCTGTGTTTTCTTTTCCTTGAACAGCTAGCTCAAAAAATACATATCTTACTAGTCATTCCCTTTCCCCACCGTTTGCTTATACTCAATAGAGTAGTGCTGAAAATTAGATTGCTGCACCCCTGAAAATATCTGTCTCTTAATGAGGAAGAACTGGAGGATAATCTTTATTTTTATTACTATATTTTCATGGATTTTTTCATTCTTTATTTAGATATTAAATATCCAAAGATGAAACTGAGCAGTGTAGTCTTTTAGAAGTTTTCTTTTTAATTATTAGACCTCTACTCAATGGACTACACATATATAAAAGACAAGACTTAAGGAAGAGTCTGCTGAGAATTCATTAGACAGGATCTCTGTGAGAGGCTTGATTAAATCAGTAGTTTTTGAATGGCTATGAAACATGCCATCTGTGTACCACTCTAGTGAGTTAGATCACCAGCGTAATCTGGCAGCTCAGTTTTGCTGGGTTTTTGAGGAGAGACTGGAGTGTCTCTAAAAGTTTGAACTGGAGTCTGTTTTCCTTTAGGAAAGGCCAAAGCATGACCCCCGGGAGGCCCTTGCGATCTAACAGGGCCAGGAGCAAAACTGAACTTGAAGACTGCCTAGGAAGGCTTGCTGTATCCTGGGCCTCCACTAGGGAGAACTGTGGTTGTAGGAATACTGGAGAGAGAAACAAGTTCACCTTTTGCTGCATTTTTGGATGGGTTTGTTTTTTGGGGGTTTTGTTGTTGTTTTGAATCAATGAATGAATAAATGAGTAAATGGCCAGTTGCTATGGCAGCAATTCGGCAAAAAGGTACAGAAAGCACAGGTATTATTCTGAGAACTGACAACAGACTACTAGTGGAAGACTCTTACCAGCACAGCAGGCATCACCAGTTAGTTACTACTCGCTGTGCTTCTCATCTAGCTCATGGAGTAACACACTGATGTTCACCATGGTAATGTTTTCCCCAACATTTTCTTGATACTCCCAGGCTGTAGGGGCAATAACTGGAATACAACCCCCAACACACGTAACTGAGAGAGGGTTTTCTGTTTCCCCATCTGGGTCCAATGGACTCGTATTGCTTTAATGAAGTGCTCTGTCCTGCTGTCCAGGAAAGTTAGTGAGCATTCACCTTGCCAACGAAATAAATACACATCCCTTTAACCCTTCACTGCAGGATACTGCCGTATTTGGTTCATCTTTTGGAGCATTTGATTGTGATCCTTCACCCATTCTATCCCTTTGGGAGCAGCTTTCCCAGCTGTGGAGGAGGAAGTGGTCTTCTCTGCCTCCCCAGGGAGTCAAAGCCAGTCAGAGTTCAGGGGCAAAGAAAGTAGTAACAGCTAAATTTAGAAAACTGGTGTGAAAAGTAAGGCAAGTTAAATACAGTTTTGTCCTTGAAATCTGAGGAAGAGGAAGGAAGATGCCTGAATGCAAGCCTTTTTACTGAGCCACAGAGGCATTATAACAAGTCTGCTTGAAGGGAAGGGCTTATTCCAAAAAAGCTGAATGACGAAGAAGATCTGTCCCCTGTCAGTTATGAGAAGGACCGTCTCTTTATTAGACATGTTGAAATAGGGAGGAATTTAAATAATTTGGCATGGAGTCTTATAAATGTCAGTATGAAGTTGAGTAAAAAGTTATAATTCAGACTAGTCGCTTCCTCTCGGTGTTTCTTTTGTGGTTGTTGTTCTCTTTAATTTCTACTGTCATTATGGAGTGTCATATTTACACTCATGATACTTTTATTCTGTAAACTAAAATATAGCTGTTTAGCCTGTGATTTCCAGCTTGCTTTAGAGCTGAGTGTATACAGTATTTGCCATAAAATAGCAAATAGTGGCTTGGTATATTTAAAGTACAAATTAGATCTTTCCCTTTTTAGAAAGAAGATACCCACTCTACAAGACTCACCTTATAAGCAGAGCTGAAATGTATATTTTCTCAAAACTAAACATTTAGAACGTTTTGCCAGATGTGTGCAGGCAATTTCCTTTCCTTGGGAAACAGTAAATTCCCTTACTCAGCCAATCCTGGTTTTATTCCATGCAGCATATAACTGAGCTGCTTTGAGAGAGATGCCTGAATTCTACTAACATTATCTTTCCAATTATCATTTTACATACAGCTGCACAGCTTCTGTTTGACAGGCAGATACAGAAATCTTGTGAGATCTCTGATAGAAAAGGAAGCATATAAATTTTTGAAGCAGTGTAAGAAAATGTTGACTTGGCTTTAGTCTGCTATCTGTAGACTTTGCCACCTAAAACTTATAAGATGTTGATTTAGTAGATAAGTTTCCATTTCAGCAGTTTTCTTTTTTTAGCAAGGGAAAAGTACATAATGAAATATGTGCAAAATGAAGGCAGAACAATTTAAGCAAGTGGGGTTTGGTGCTGCTTTCTTACAGGGGTATTTGATCTACACATATAAATGAAAATGCCTTAATGTGAGAATGTATAACTTCAAAACCAAATCTGAGATGAAAAATTATCTAAAACATGGAATAAATTAGTGAACTATTTCATATATTCCTGGTATTTACATTCCTCACATTTTGACACTCCATGTTAAGTCCCTACCTTTGGTTCCTGGTACTTAAATATTAGTTTGTGATAGTTCCATTTGCTGTCTTCAAAATATTTTCTTCCACTGGGACTATTTTAGCATTTTTCTCAGGAACAAATGTCAACAAGGACAAGACTCATGAACTTGTAACTTAAAAAACAGGGGACAGGATCTAGGACCCTACTAGATTTCTAGTCTGCTAAAAATCTTATCTGTTTTTAGATCTTTCACTCTCTCTGAAAGAGAGGAGTGACAGGTTATTATGTTTTCCTAAAAGCCAAACCATTTCTTTTCATCAAGACTCATAGTTCAAATCTTTAGCACTTT